CAGAGTATAGTCCACATCCAGCCCAGTCTTACCAGAGTGTAGTCCACATCCAGCCCAGTCTTACCAGAGTGTAGTCCACATCCAGCCCAGTCTTACCAGAGTGTAGTCCACATCCAGCCCAGTCTTTCCAGACTATAGTCCACATCCAGCCCAGTCTTTCAAAACAGAGAATAGTCCACATCCAGCACCATCTTACCAAACAGAGTATAGTCCACATCCAGCACCATCTTACCAAACAGAGTATAGTCCACATCCAGCACCATCTTCCCAAACAGAGTATAGTCCACATCCAGCACCATCTTACCAAACAGAGTATAGTCCACATCCAGCACCAGCAGTCTCTTGCCGTCTCTTGGAGGGTTCAGCTCTTCCACCCTGTACTCCTTCACCCGACGGGCGATCTTTGCCAAGTTCTCTTCCCTGCAAACAGAAAGACAAGGTGCCAGGTGTCAGTGGAGAAGCATCCTGCTCCCAATACATCCACATCTCTCCTTGTTCGACGGAGAACTCAAGTCACAGTGCCAGGGACTGATGGATGGTGCACGTGCTGGGACAGAATTCAGGGCTACGGATCTGTGGTGGTGTGACTTAAAGGCCCAATCCCAATGTCCCCCCCTAAGGCCTAAACCCTGAACCCTCACAGACTTAATTAATGTCACCTGGTAAGTGATTGAGTGTGAGAAGCTGCAAGGGCTCAAATTGGCATAAACAGGAATAGGACAGCAGACTGCAGCATATCACATTCCCTTGACAATGCCAAAAACAATGGAATCAACTGTCTAATTTGAACGCGTTTCAGGTTCTTGCCTTACAAGAGGTAATTGTCAAATAATTACTTTAAACTTTTTTGTCACAACAGCATCCTTAAGTAATAAGTAAAATAAATAGTTTGTTTACAGTTTACACCTTTGGGTTTCCCCTGGTAATCCCAGCTGCCATGTCACAGCGCTATGAACTGTGGGTAATCCCCTTAGGCAAAGTCTGCAGAAATGTAGACTTACGGAAAGTGTGCACAACGGGCTGAAAATGCCTGTGAGAGCCCTCATGCACTTGCCGATTTGACAGTGGGATAGCCCTAAGCCCTCAAGGGCTTAGTGGGAATGCATCTCAAAGTCCGTGAGTCCCAGAGTGTGGACACTGGGATTGGGCCCCATTTCCAGAAAAAGTGATATGAAGTGAACTTTAAAACTTTAGGCCTGGGTTCACTATTCCAGGCATGAAAGGCCAGTCTGCCACACATTTTCACATTTCTCAAGATTCGATCACTTTATTGTTTTTTTCATTAGGTGTAACACAAAAAAAAATCACGTTTATGAAAACCCCAAAAGGGACATTAACAAATACAAAATGAATATAAGATAGAAGCTAAAAATAATCATACAAATATATTTAAATACATAGACAATGTTATTCTTAAAAAAAGACAGAACAGTTTATTATTGCCCAGTTCACAGCTGCAACAGTTATTACTGTATTTCACATCACCAGCATAAGTTATTACACACAGTCAATGAGAGATTATCTCAGGCTGAGGGAATTCAGAGTTCAGAAGGTTTATGGCTGAAAAAAAGCTATTTTTCAGTCTGTTTGGATTGATCTAAAGCACCGTCCCGACGGGAGCAGCTAAAACAAAGACAGTCCAGGACAGTCCTTAATGTTTTTTCACCGGCTAATTGACAGGTTTAGTAGGTATATCTGAGCAGGGATTTCTGCAAACTCTGGTGCAGTGAGGGGCTCCAGGACCGGAACTGAGGAGCCCCGATTACGGCAAATACTGACCTGTTTTCTGCTTCGATGACCTCTTCCTCAATATCGAAATCGTTGACGACGTCGTCGTTTTCCGGAGGAGGGGCCAAAACGTCTTCCTATGCAGGACAAAAAAAAAAAAAAACCAGCACTGAAGAGTCATTTTTGGTAAGCAGCCCTGATCCTGGAGAGCCGAATTCAGCAGGTTTTCCATCCCACCCGATGAGAGACCCGGTAGGATGCAATAGCTACTGCATAACATCAGCAAGAAACGGATCGACGCCAAAATGAAAGTAAGTGCATCTAAGGAAGACTATTCTTTTTGAACAATGTGACAGTTTTTGTATACAGTACCAGTCAGAAATGGGTGGAGTGGCAGCTCTGAGGCTAGAGATCTGTGGCATTGATCAGAAAGTCGCTGGTTCAAATCCCGTGAATGGCAGCAGTGATCCTACTCCGTTGGGCCCTTGAGCAAGGCCCTTAACCTGCAATGGCTTCATCCTGGGTATGACGTTAATCTACATCCAGCCTTAAAAGGAGGTCCTCCAACTCACAGGGAATTTTGGGGGTTGATGGCAGGATTGGCACTCCAGCCACTGGAAAAAAAACTCACACTGGTCCATTTGGACTAGTGTGGTGCTGAGGTATGACCCACTGCACGGCTGAACCCAGGTTTGTCGTGTAGTGGGTGTGGCAACGCACTGCAAATCAGCGCCCCCCCCTCCCACCGTACCTTACCAGTCAGAAATCAGCTTTTAATGTATCTGTCTTTGTTTTAGCTATGTTATTTACCTTAAAAGAGTTGCTTACCCCTGCTCTAGTTTACAAAATTAAATCACCCTGGACCAAATAATAATCTAGAAGAAAGTATGATATGATTATAGGGTCACACAACGATATCAGTAACTGAATGTATTTGGGAAGAACTTAAAGGTATTAATGAAGAGCAGAAGATACACACCAGGCTCTCCTCTCTGCTGCCCATCATCATGATCTTTGTGTTTGGCTTCAGCTTCAGGCTTCCCAGTTTGATGTCATCCTCTGCTGGTTTGCCTGGGAAGATGAGTAAAAATGAGCGGTCTGACTGCACTGAGCATGCTCAGTCCAACCCTCAGAAGACAGACAACGCACATTAAGGTATGGTCCCCATATCCCTGTCATTCTACTTTACATGAGTGAAGCTGTATTTGCCAACAAAGCTTCCATTGCATAAAAAACCTTTGATGGATGGAAAAATCCTTGAATTCTGTGTTCAACACACTCTGAAAGTTAGCCGTCGGAGGCGAAGGATGGAGATGGGGAATCGCAGAGGGGTAAACATAAACATCCTAAGTATCCTGTACACGATAACCCAGACTATGAGGAAAGCACACATCTTCCATTTCCATCCATCCATCCATCCTCCAATCACTTAGCCTGAAAAGGGTTGTACAGGAGGGCCTGATATGAATTTCAGGAAACAAAGCGGGGGAAGAACCTTTATGGGATTCGTGGCTGTAGGAGGATGGACACACACAGATCAAATATTCCTATCAATTTTGGGACTCACCATTCATTTCTATAGGCATAACCCCAATCTCAACAATGACAACCTTAACCCCTACCCAGCCCTAACCTTGACCATAAAGAACCAAACAAAAAGAAAGACTTTTGGCATTTTTATGGCATTTTGATTGTAATCGCAGATTTTTTTTTAATGAAATTGAGGTTTATATTGTGGCGACCTGAAAAATGTCCCCACAAGATAAGTCCCTACAATGTAGTACACACACACACACACACACACACACACACACACACAGATCGGAGATTCTACCTGCCACTGCACCACCTCGCCCATCTTCACCCAGTATAGCCCATTTTAGTAATGCTATGTAATGCGTATTCAGGCAGGCCTGGGCCTCTGACGCGTAGCAGCCGAATAGCGGTTAGCGCCGGACACACAGTGCAGCTTCCGCTTAAACATACCTTTCACTTTCAGGCCGAGGAGCTTCTGCCTTTCTGGCAACACGCCAGTCAGGGTCTTGATGGACTGCTTGAGATCCAACACGGTGTCCTCCTCGGACAAGGTGCTGATGAAGTATTCATGGCCACCCCACTTAATTATCACGGAGACGGACATCGCGCTGCGAGTCGCTGGGCGGATGTAAAGGGCAAAGGAGAATTACAATCTAAACAGTGCCCTCGCACGGGAAACACAGCGGTAAGTTTATGCACTGGATGTTGATGGTTTCAAATTTTAAGACATAAATTCACCTGTTTTGAACAGAAAAACTTGCATATAAACAGCAGTAACTGGGGTGCCAGCTTTCATGCATCTGGTGTGACACACTCAAGAAATCTTACGTTAAGTTTTATTATTATTGCATTATAAACCTAATATTAACTACATCCAAAGCGTTGGGGCAGTTTGCAAACCCTACAGACTATTTACAAGGTAACAAAACTGTTACATGCATGTAAATGCGTGTACATGTACGTGCAGACTTGTCTCGAATTGAAAATCTCACTCTATCCAGCTGACCAAAGTTGCCAACTCCAGTATTACTCTGCCGAGTTACACTGGAGCACTTAATGCAATTAGTGCAATAATGGCGTATTACTGACGGTGATCCTGCGTTGTGCCAGGATTAATTCAGATGGGTGGAATATCAATCCATTTACGAACCGCTCGTCGTGTGCAAGGTCGCGAAAGGGTGTGAGGTGGACTGGAAACTATCCCAACTAGCAAATCCACGTGAAGCTGTAATTCTGTCGTCTTTGCTTCATCTCGTTCCGATCTACGCCGTATTTGACCCCCGAACGACCTGCAGCGGTACACTGCTCTCGTCCGAAGAGCCGACTCGGGTCAATGGGCATCACAGCAAATCGGGTGACGTACTTTAATAAGAAGCGTAATCGTGGACTGTCATCGCATGCATTTCACCCCGGGGAGGGAAGTGGGGGGGGCGACGAACATTTCCAGGACGCCATTCATTCGCGCCATGCTTTGAAATAATAAAAACCCGCGAGCAGAGCGCACGACCTAGTAAAGGTACATAACGAGCAAAGTGGAATCAGCGTTAACAGTACAGCCGTGAGCAGCGGATGTGTGCAATGTCGTTTCTGGGCAGCCTGGTGTCTTTATGCAACCCCCCCCCCTATTTCCCCGGGGCTGCACCGTTCGTTTGAGGCCGCTGGTGCATTTACCCCGCAGATCGCGCCTTAAATTTCAAGCTCCTATATAGACTCATACCGATCTGTTCTGTTTTTCCCCTCCACTGGGCTTTTTTTCTTTGCAGCAGTGCGGCGTGTGAAGCTGATAAAGAGACAGGGTACTGGGCCGGCGATTTGAGCGATGCGATCCCATTCAGCGCGGACACTCCTTCCTGTCTCCCAGTGATGCTCCGGTTTGTTACCAAGCGCCGTCCCGCCTTCAGCTTCCGGTGCCGGAGGAAGTCGGGGGCGCGTCGGTGGGTTCCCGTACTTCGTTTATTTAAAAACAAATCTAGCAAATTTGCATCTCAGAAACCAGCTGTTGCTACATTCAAGGCATACTTTAAATCATATTGTGCTACATTAACATCCAGTAAAAATACAAAGCTGTGAAAACTCTCTTCATATGTGGTGAATTTAACTTGTGTAATGTATTATAATATATTTTTTTGTAATTATATTCTCCTTTCTCACGGTCTTCCTAGAGCATTGTATTCCGTTTTTGTTTATTTCTTCTTTACTCCATGCGTTGATGCAGTGAATTATGTCCTAAGGTGTTTGTAAAAATGTATGTATATGATATTGCATTTTTTTTATTACTGTAATGATTGTAATGTTAATCTCTTCCACTACGTCTTGCTTTGACCGTATTATCAACAATTCCCGTTCAAATTAATTATCCATAGGGTTGTCGACTTTGGTCAGCTGGCTGGCGTGAGATTTCAGGTCTGCACACACATGCACACGCATTTGCATGGATGTAACAGTTTTATTGCCCTGCAAATAGTCTGTAGGGTTTGCAACTTTGCATATTACCACAACGCGTTAGATGTAGCTAATTTTAGGTTTTACAGTGGAATAATAAAGATTTGCTGCAGGACTTCTTGCGTGAGCGTATGGAAGGCCGTATTAGTGTCACGCGCCAGATGCGTGAGAGTTGGCAAACCTGTATCCAATATGATAAACATAATATAAATGTACATAAATGTTACAATGTTCATATGCTACATTTCAATGTATATTTGGAAGCGCCCATGGACTACTGAGTTAGCGGCTACATCTATATACGGACAACATGAATGAGTTAATAATTATTAATGTTAGAATATTACAGTTCTCTTCGGGTTAGTAAAACTAAATGCATGATCTAGTTGTATTACAGGCAGTTTGCTTAAAATGTCGAAATTTTAGTTTGTTTTTTTTTTTAGTTTTTTTTTGCCGTAGCAATAGGAAAGTACAGATCCACAGCTGTCAACAGATATTTAGTGATGAGTGATGAATGATTGCCGTGACAAGTTGCCGTCAGGCAAACTGCGCTCCTATCGTCCTAATGTGTCTGCTCCGTGATGCCTGCTAAATCGTGCACGTCTTGACTGAAGGCTGGAAACTCCTATGGGAATGCTATTCTCGTCTAGTAGGTTCCCCGCCTAAAATTAGATGAGAAACGAATTATTAATGAAATGCTTCGTATTCTTTGATCCTGTCGGTCAAGTAAGTGACATTGGATTGTCAACGTGCATACATGTATCATCGGATACGTCACGTTAATACCGTTTGTCACACATCTATTGCTGTTTTTAAAGCAGTCCTTCAGACTATACATTATAACATTTCTAGCAGTGTGCTATGCAATGTTGTCATCATTACAGGTAAAAAAACTTTATGATTTCCAGTAAAATAAAAGCCATGTCTCTCCATAATATATTTTTTGGGGGGACAACGTAACCAGCTGTCAATTCCGTGTTTGCTTTTATACTTTAGTAGGCGAATCACCCACGCCTAAGGAAAGCATATTTGTCTGCGACAATCCAACGAGGACGTAGATATACATCCCTTTAATAGCCGGAGGTCGCGCATGCTCAGTAGGCACCTTAGCGCTTCTAATGGCTGCTGGATGACAAGGGGAGGTAGCCCGTTGTTCTGCGTCTCCGTGGGCAGCCTAAATACCGCCAGGACCGAAAACAGTCGACTTAAAATGGTTGATTTCCGACTGGAGATGCAACGTGAGTCTGAAGTAAACGGAGTAAAGTAAGTGCTATTCACGGAAATCGACTTTATTTCTGACAGTTTTAGGTTACGGTTAGGAGGGAGTAGCTAGATGTATCGTATAGCATTGTTTGGTTTTTACACGGCTGTCTCGGTAAGCACGTAGGAAAAATAGACGACGCTAGGTACGCTTTACTTTTTTAGGCAGTGTAGCGGAATCTTCTGAAATAGATGTTGTGGTCGTGCATACACGTTTCGTGGGATTTCTGGCTCATAAATTATGGGCTGCGCGTTCGCTGCCTCTGTGCAGTTAATCTCAGGTTTACGAAGATGATCCGAAACATTTGGCTGCGCATGAAGTTGATGGAGTTTCCGTCGCTCTTGTGGCTAATTTCCTCCTGTTTGCGTGCGCAAACGGCTTTCGCTGCAGTGATGAGTTCCTTAATGGTAATATTAAAAGCGGACTAGCTGCCGCTTCCCCCCGCCTAGTCCCCGCAAAGCGGCTAGCGTGGGAGTGGAGCGGTAGCGCGCGTGTTAATAGGGCTCCTACAGGCGCGGGGTTACTGCAGTTCACGGCGGGGCGGCGCATGCGCGCTCGTGCTCGCCAGTCCGTCCTGCCGCGCGCCGCACTCTGCGTCGCCGTGACACCTCCGCGGTCGCCATCCGTAGCCTTCATTATAGTTACATAATGTCAGTGTTAAGAAGAAAAAAAAACACACAAGCAGAGCCATTGATTTCTCCTTTTTCAATTTAACTGCTAATTAGTGCTGCGTCGTTAGCGTGACTTTCATATAGTCCTGTTTTTTTAAAAACACTTTAAAAAACCCAAGCTTAAGGTGCATGTTATGTACATGCGGTGCACGCGCTTCATATAGATGATGAATGTCACTAACGATCGTACCACGAACAGGGGCTTTAAAGTTGTGTGTGAAGAGGTGCATGCTTGAGGCAGCGGGGCTCAGTAACGTGCCAGAAATCTGTATAATTTTAGCATCCCTAATTTGATGGCGAAGGTTATTTGTAGGGTTGATTTAACAGCACATAACTGATAAATTCATTTTTCAGAACTAGCAGTTGTAATCTGTGTAAAATCTTCATTCTCAGAATTATCTATTGTTTTTTTTCTTCTTCTAACATTACGGTTTTCAGGAGGGGTGCAACAGATCACAAAACATCAGTTTTGAGTAACGGGTCGGATAATTTTTCGGATTAGCTAAAAAAGAAACTCATGCAGTTTTTCTTTCCGTATATCACTTAAAGAACACTTAAAGCAATGAACTTTTAACATGCCCCGTTCACGTGAACACACTATTGCTTCGTCTGCATCTTTTCATCGCAACTCTGCATCGCATTTTCTTACTGTCTTGTTACCTCGAGATGACGACTTATTTTTCTCGTCATCTCAACATGGACAGATATGTTTTCTCGAGATCACTAATTGTTTTCTGGATCGCAAAATGAAATTTGTAATTCGACGTGCAAATAGCATTTGTCAGAAGAATGGGGAAGTGGATTCCTCTGAAAATGCCAAGACTAATGCTATTGAATCTGGGCAGTTTTTTATTGCATTACCATTGAAAATCTAACCCCCTCCCATGTGGGAATTTTCCCTCATTGTGAGAAATGCATTTTAAACCTCCCAGTGCATGTCCTCTGTGGAGTTCCATAGCATTGGGATTTAGGGAATTATTACTTTAAAAAGTAATGGGCAACGAAACTGGATTTTTCACTATTATGATAAACTTCGCAATTAATCCGCTGTTCGCAAACGTGGCGAACTATGGGGGTGGATCCATATAGATTACAGATGAACTACAGCCTGTTACACCGTTTGTTTTCAAAGGAGGATTTTTGGCAAACACCATTGTCGGTAGTTTATGCATTGTTTTTCTGTTGGTCCACTTGAATACTATTTAAAACTTGCTCACAGATTACAGGTCTCTCATTTAAAATGAACTTTGATTTTCAGAATTCAGGTAAATGTGGAAATGGCATCTTAAATTGGGGCAAAAGCTCATTTGCATAGTGTTTCTCTTGGAAACAGAAATGTAGTCACTGAAGGCCATTTTTCTATGATGAAATGGGGACAAATTCCAAACACCGGGAGGAGTTAAAATGCTTGAATTCTTGTCGTGTCCTTGTTTGGAGAATTAGAGTGGAGGGGTCATCAGCAGATTCCTCTACCGTGGCTTTTGCCCGGGTCACGTCTGCCTGACTGAGTCGAAAGTGATGAAGTAAACGGGGGAGTGTTACTATCACTGCTTTCTGTTGGCAACTTTGAGACACAGAGGAACTGATCTGAGAACAGGTGTCCCTCTAAGCGGTGTATTAATCGAAGGAAGGCGTTGATGATCTAATTCATATGGGCATAGTTTCTCATCTTAGATGTTCCAACACACACACACACACAGCCACCAGCGATCATATTGTACCCTAGTCTGTGCCACGGTAGTACCAAAGAGGGCTGGCCAATATATCAATAAAATATCATATCGTGATTAGGGTTGCAAAGGGGTGGAAAATTTCTGGAAACGTAGCAGGCCTTTCCGTCACATGGGTGGTTAAGCTGGGGAATTCTGGAAATATTCCAAGTTGGAAACTTTGCATGCGAATTAACGGGAACAAGTGGGAATTAACAGGAAAATTCCCAGAATTTTGCGTCACTAATTGTGATTATGAACATTCATATCATCATCAAGTTAAATGTTGTATCATGATATAGCGCAAACACTTGTTTTCTTGCATAATTTTATACACATTCCATCAAGGCATGAGTCTGTCTGTGTAATTAATCATTAAAAATGTCACGCTCTGTAACTATCAGTAAAGCAATTTAGTAAACACTATTTTCTGCGTATGCATTTTAAAAGAAATATTGATATTGTGACCATCTCTGAATATATTGCGATATCATTATGAGGGCATATTGCCCAGCATTAGTACGAAAGCTCGGGTATCCAGCGTGAGGACGGAAGTTCATCAGGACATACCTCGATCATCGTAGGGAAGAAGTGAAATGTACTGCATAACACAAGATACCATATGATACAGTGCACACTGTGTGTATGTGCAGCATTATTAGTTAGAAATGTGCCTTCACAAGACTGGCAGTGCTGTCGGGTTATTTTGGTTTGTGGTACATGCTGCACGTGGTAAAATACATCTAATGTCCAGTGGGTCTGCTTCAGATGTCTCTCGATAAATATTAAGGCTTGGATGGGACGTTACGTGATGGGACGCCAGTGCGGTGGGACACCAGTGCGGTGGGACGTCGACGCGGTGGGACGTTACGCGATGGGACGCCAGTGCGGTGGGACGTCGACGCGGTGGGACGTCGACGCGGTGGGACGTCGACGCGGTGGAACGTTACGCGGTGGGTCGCCGACGCGATGGGACACCAGTGCAGTGGGACGTCGACGCGGTGGGTCGCCGACGCGATGGGACACCAGTGCAGTGGGACG